GAGGGGTGATTTTACCAACACCATATTTCCACAAACCAGGAGTGTTGCACCTCTGTGATAGATCAACCAAATTTGATTGTGAGGAAATTAGAAAATTTTCTAATAAAGAGAGAGTTGTTTAGAAAGGTTCTTAATAAAAAAGAATTAATTAGGAAATATTTCCTAATTGAAGGGAGCATATATGGGGGCTGATTTAGAGGGAATTAATTTGGAAATGTTTCCTATTCGAAGAGGTTTGTTTAGGGGCTGATTTGGGGGGATTAATTAGGAAATGTTTTTGATGAGGACATCAGCAGGAGATTTTGGCGCGTTTATCAGAGGAGACACTGGAGATCGACAACTATGATCAGGAGCTTATATTTTTGAGTCATTTTATGTATTAGTTTATTTTTATTTTCAATTTTTACTGTTTTACCCTTATGGGTGGTCATTTGATGTTGTAGCTCAGAGGGCATTCTAGTCTTTGTTTCTTTTCTTTTTGGTGAGACCTATATATAGCTCATTTTTATTGTATTTGGGATGATGATTATTGATATGAAAAATTCTGGCCTCCCTTGCTCCCTTTGGGTCCCTTCAATTAGCCTTCATTAGTTTCCTATTTGGGATTAATACTAAATTGGAAAGGATTTGAAAGCAAATTGAAATTAATTTGAAGTTCAAATTCCTTCCAATTAATGTTATTCATTCTTAGGAAACTTCCCTATTAATCCTCCAATCTGAAAGTAATTTCAGATTTTAGAAAATAAGCCACTAATTGCTTGGGCCCACCTCATTAACACCCAATCTCTCCCTCTTCCTCTCTCCTTGGTCGGCCAACCAAGCCCCACCTTTTATTTAATTAGATCCCATAAAGTAAGTATCTAATTAATTCATTTCCTCCCCACTTTCTCTCCTAATCTCCACTTATTTCAAATTCAAATTTCAAAGGAGATTAATTCCTAATTATTCACTAAATTTGAAATTAATTTCATATTTGATTTTTCTCCTTTTCCCCTTAGCTTGGCCGACCCCTCCTCTCCCTCTCTACATTTTCTCTTGGACAACTATGCATGGCTGATTCGGATGTTGATCATAGATTCGTCTTTGATTCCCAAGGACGTGTGGACGTTTTGAGATCGCCTTTCTGTGACGTCAACATAGAGATCGACGCAACCGTTGAAGATTCCGTGGATTGGATACTATTTTCTCTATCAACCGCCATCGACGAATGCTACCTTCCATTCCAGTGGCAACTCTTACATCTTCCACCCACTCCTCCAACTCCGACTAGCTTTTCCATAGACAGTATTGTAAGCTCCCTCTTCCTCGTGGTGGTCACGTTAGTATTGCCAATATCTTTCTTCCGTTAATCGCAAGAGAGCTTGAGTGAGGGAAACTCAATGTGAATTTTCTAAATATTAACTCACGGATTATTGTTAAAGTGCATTTTTCATTACTCGCATGTTTGTTATTGTTTTAAATTGTCATGCCTAATGAGTTTGTAACACTGCCTAAGCAACTTTGCAACTGAGATTTCATTAAATCATTAATTGTGATTCCTTAATCTTTATATTGACTTGCTTATTCAGTTGTCTTATTGTTTCTCCGTGCAATTCCGATTATGTTTCACATCAGTTTCCTAATTGAAGATGACAAATTTATGAGATGATTTGAGGGTTGATTTGGAAGGGAAATAATTAAGGGAATACGAGGGAATTAGAGGAGGGTTGTTTGGGTATTTGTTGCTTAATTGTTTGCTTTAAATATGAAGAGATGATTAGGGTTAGGGTTATGCAAATTATTGTGACTGATTTCGTTCTTGGAGTTTGTTGACTTGGGCTCTAGCAGTGTCTAGGGATTGGGAAAGATAGATCCTCCTCTGGAATTGAGGATCAATTGTATCTTGCTATTTTATTCCGTTAGTTTGATTATTGCAATAAAAACTACTGTTTTTCCATTCTTTTCAATTGAATTTGTAGAGTTTTCTCGTTGTTTTTGCTTCTCTTGTTAGGATTACTTGAGATCTTCAAGTATTTCCAAACACTCTGCCACTTCACGCACATTGTGTACGATAATATATGCTTGAATGAAAAGCCACACAAGCTTTGCAATAATAGTTTAACCCCTAATAAAGGCGTTGAAAATTTTAACTATGACAATTATTAATAGCAGGCACATTATGCAAGGCAAAATCCAACTCAAATTGAGGTGAGACACATTGACAATCATGTAGTTGCATCGTAAAAGAAAAAAACTACTACACTTATTTTAATAGATATTCTATTGAAAATTCATTTTAAAAGAGGACTAGGTTCCAAGTTTAAGACCCAATCCTTTCCATATGGTGGTAGAATTGACATTGTCTATAATCTAGTAATGTCTAAGACCCTATCATCTACATATAGGAGGTGGAATTGACGTTGTCTATCATCTAATAATGTCCAATTATTAGAATGAATGCAAATGCCACATTCATATTTCCGCATACTTGACACTATATAAGCAAGCAGGCGGAGTTGATAAGGTTTATAAGTTGACAATCTCTTAGAATCTGGGGCACAATAACCTACAAGTAAAAGTAAAAGCACATGCGTCTGTTGACTTCATTTTTGTATGAGATCATCATTCTGAATTACACATATTCTTGATTGTCAATTTGATGGTTTACAATCATCCAACTATAAATGTTTCAACCTACATACCTCCAAACTTCAAGTAATCAATCAACCAGCCTGCACCTCAAGCAATCAATCAAATTTCAATCACTAGATCTACCACCATCCAATCTACAATTATTCAGTCATTTAGTCAACATTTAGCCAAGCTTCAAACAACATGATCAATGATGAGGACATCAGCAGGAGATTTCGGAACGTTTATCACCGGAAGCATCGAAGATCGACGACTACGATTAGGAGCGTGTATTTTTGATTTATTTCATGTATTAGCTTATTTTATTTCATGTTGGACGATTGTACCCTTATGTTTTATTTTGAGTTGTAGCCGTGAAGTCATTTCATTCGCTTATTTTATTTTCTCTTTGTGGACACTCTTAGTCTTGTATTAGGGTTAATGCTTGATTAATAAAAAAATTTCTAGTTTTTTTGAGAGCTTGTGAGCTCTCGAGTGGTGAAGTCCTAAGGTGTGAGCAAAGCAACACCCACCAGTTGTCGGAAGTCTCCCCGACTCGTGGTTCGACTCATTCCCTTGCTACAAACCGCTGACAACCCTCTTTCCCCACCAAACCGCCAGCCCCAACCTAGTCTCCCTTCTCCTACCTGCCGGCCCCTAAATCCTCTCCCACCCATAGCAGCCGGCATAGCCCACAAACCCGTCCACCTCTCCCCATCCCACTCATAGCCGCCGACCACACTTCATTGCCCCTCTTAATGAAGATTTCGATCATCATTATTACATGCCTAAATTAGCCTAAATGATTTGGGAAAGGTTTTAATTCAATTTGAAATTCAAATTTAAACTTCAAATACTTTCCTAAATTAACCAAGCTAAATTAGAAAAGTTCCTAAAATTAAGTCTAATTTAATTTTAAATTAGATTTGATTTCTTTATTCTTTTCCTAAATTGGATTAAGGAATTAGGAAACTTTAAATTCCCTAACAATTCCCTCTCTTTCTCCCTTGTATGCCGCTGACTCCTTAACCCTTTCCCCCTCTCTTTCTATTTCCATTGTTTCACCTTTGGGATTTGAAATCCAAATTTCAAAATTCAAAACCCCTTTCCACTTTTAACTAAAATATGAAATTAACTTCATATTTTATTTGCTTTGTCATATTCCAAGCCCCAAACCTAAACTTTACCCCTCCCCTCCCTTGGCCTACCCCCTCCTTCCTTCCCCTTGGATTTTCTTCTTTCATGAGTTATAGTCCAAAAGAAGAAGAAAAAGACAAGTTTCCCTACCAACTTTCTTGCTAGTGCATGGCCGATCCCGAGCTTAACCACGGATTCGTCTACGACCCGCAAGGTTTAGTGGATATTCTTCAATCTCATTTCTTCGACCTCAATTTGGAAGTTGATGATTCCGTTGAAAATTAAGTCAGTCGCATTATGTTCACCTTGGCACCTTCAATTGAAGAACATCTACCTTCCGAACATT